CACATGAGAGGAAGGCTAAGACTTTGGTATTCATGAGGATTACACAGAGTATCCCAAGTGGAGGAAGGAAAGGATGGGGAAAGGCAAGACAGTCTGCCCATTCCTTCATATTTGCAATGCTCTTTTTTTATTCCCTTCCTTTCTTTTATTCCCGTGTTTTTTCCCTTTGCATCCTCCTCCTCCTTTTTACTCCTCCTTCCTTCAACTGCCACAATTACTAGCCTTGCCCCATCTCTCCTGCCATTTGTTCCATCCCACTAAGCTCACCAGCAGCGTGAGCTGGACACAGGCACCAGTTGCACCAGGAGCCCTCCCAGACAGCGGTCGGGAAGGCTGAGCTGCCTCCCGCCCCACCACCTGTAGCAGCACCCCAAAAGCAGCTCCACGCTGCGCTGATGGTGCGTGCCTTCAGGCTGGCAAGAGCTGCTGGGCTTTGAGGAGGGCAGACTGGCATCAGTATTTCGTGACAGAGCTGCAAGTGGTCCCCCAGGTACCCAAGCACTCATCCAGCTTACTGTTAATTACACCTGCTCAGCTGGCCAGGACAAAACATTATTTTCTGTTAAACCAATAGGGATAGGCTGCGAACACAAGGGACCCTCTGGATTTTCAGGAACTCTCGATTAGTCCATGTAAACGCATGGCCTCGGCCGCTCAGAGAGTGGAGAGCAAGAGGCAGGAGCACCGGCTGGGAAAAGCATTTGGAGAGAGCAGTTACACCTTGGTTTTTACCTTTTTTCTTTCTTGGGTTGGATGGCAGGAATTTGTCACCAGAGAAATGATTTCTCAAGCCTCCAGACGCATTCAAAATAAAGAACAATGGACCACATGATAAGCCTTCTGCAGCTTTCCCCACAAAAGAGATGCCGGATGTTTTTTTCAGTCCTGACAATAGCTTTCGTGCACTTTTGTGTTATGTAAAATTAGGATTTTTACTGCCAGCACAGAGGCATTTCCTGCTGGATAATACTGAAGCAAGCCTATGAGAGCAAGAGGTCCCCAGTTGTTGGTCTCATTTACAATTCCAGTGAAACAGTATGGTCCCTGAGAAGCTGCATATCTTTTAGCATTATCATTGCAGAGACACGTAACAATTACAGCCAAAGCATTTTGTCTACGCCTAGGAAAACAAGTGACCGGCAAGCCTTTTCCTCTGTGGTCCTAAAAGAAAAAAGCCTTCTTTTTTTCTGCTTTTTGAATACAGAAGAAACGAAACTCAGAAATGTAAAAAGGCAGGTCAAGGGCTTATCACCGGTGATGGCTATTATTCCTGTTACACGGATGGATTTCAGCAAAAAGGCTAAGCAAAAATGATTTAAGAGCATCTGTCTCTGTCTTCTACAAACGCTGCCCCAGCAAGAGACCGGGGGGCAAGGGAAATGCTTGAAGATAGTCAATAAATATAAATACACAGCAGGTTTAGCACCCTGCGGGAGAAATCACTGTCCTGGGTACCTTTCTCTCCTTGCAGCCATACAACTGCTGACAGAACAACGAGAATGCTGATGCTGCAGGAGGAACAGCACGAGCCTTGGCAGAATCTTCCTCGTTTGGTGGAAAAAGAAATAGTCAGTCCAATGGCCAATAATTTTAACAAAAGGTTGTCAAATTCAATCCTCCTGAATTCCAGCTTCAGCATGCACACAAGTGCCTGGATTTTTCCAACAGCATCAAGGTGGAAATCAGAGGGAGCCACTAAGCTCACAGCACTTTGAAAACAAGCCTGTTAAGGACAGCATCCCCAAAAGGCCAGCCAATAAGTTTTAAGCATAGCTTTAAGTGTTACCTCCTATCACCCCCCTGCCATGATTTCTTATAATCAAGGAGCTATCTGAAAAGACACAGGTTTCAGGGATTACACTGCATGAGCAAAAGCATCCTTTGTATATTCTTTCTCTGTACCCTTTCTCTGAAAGTGGAGCCACACACAGAAAACACGTTGAAAGAGATGAAGCTATGGTGAAACACCTAGAGAGGTTAACGCTGACCATCACTCTGAGTGACTCTCAAGTGATCCAATTACAAAAATATCCTTAAAATGAAGAAAAATCAGGTATTTAAAGCCCTTAAAACCCAATTGTCAGTCTGTAGATTCCACTGGCTTTGTGGCATGTGCTTAAGGATCTGCAAGGTAAGTATACTGAGAAACAACAGGCTTGTTTTCCTTCGACTTGCATGCAGGTGTCTAAGACTCAACCGGAAAACAACATTGGTGCCTGTAGATAACAGAGCTTGCAAACCCTTGCCATGCACGTAGAGCAGGCGAAGGCATTACTGCATACCGGTAGTAACGGCAGATTGGTTGCCCTGCACAGGCCCAGTTTCCTCTTGGGTGACTAGCCAAAGTCAGCACTACTCCTCCTTCGCAGCCAGACTGTTGCTAGAGCAAGTACACAGCCCCAGGCTGCAGGCAAAGCTCCTTCCTCTGGTTTTGATACACCCTGGATTGCCCTGGACCCAAGGTCAGAGCCAGGTTGAGAGCTCACAGCTTCTTAAATGAAGATACCCTCTAATGGTCAAGAGAAGCCCAGAAAGGGGAGTATTTAGCACAGGGGAGGGTTGTCTTTAATTAGATTTCACTTACAGGAAAATGCCAGGGCACAGCAGCTCTGTGTTGCAGTGGCCGAGGCGATGGGGTTGGCAGCAGCTGGCATGCAGGCAGGGAGCAGGACCGAGAGCATTGCCTCCTTGTGCTTGAAGTGAGCAGCAAGGGGTTTGCATTTAAGAAAACCAGCAAGTAAAGGCCTCCCGAGCTGTTGCAAACCCTGACACCAAGCCTGGTTTGGCTCTGGTCATTTATGCAACATCCCACACAAGAGGCAACAGAAAATGCCTTGGCTTACGTTCTCTCTCCCAGGCTAAAACTCAACTGCTGGCAGGTTTTAGGAATAGATAGAAAAAAAAGTCAAATCGATTTTAGGTTGTTTGGTTTTTAACCCTGCATCTTGACTGCAAGGCAAGTCCAAACAAGAATACACTCTGAAAGACTTGAAAGCCATGTCTACTCTTCCTCAGGCTCCCAGTCTGACTGAATTCAGTAGCGTCTTTGCCTTCCGCAGCGCAAAGCTGAAATTTCCCCCATCACTTAACCTTTGCCCAAGCTTTTCATCTGAGGCTGAACTCCTTATTAGCAGGTCTTTAAACAGACCCTCTGCCCTAGGGTAAACTCACCCCAACAGAATCTGTTCTACAAAGAGCGAAGGAAACAGGTTGTGAATTATTTTGCTTTTATCATAAATGACCTCTCCTTCTTGTGAACGGGCCTCCAGTCTCCGTGAACTCCAGGCCTACTGCAGGCAGGAGCTGAACCACAGCCTGCAGAAATCAATACCGTTGACTCTAATGAGTTCTGAATCATGCTCAGCACTCCTGGAGATACATCCCACTCTTCCAGCAAAGAAAAATATGGATGTCAGTCGATGCATCGACAGTAATGTATGCTAATGAAGGTAATGTAACCTAACAACATGTGAATTATTGATGTGGGCATGTTTAAACAGGAAAATCAGCAAGGAATCACACCAGACCAATACGCTCCGGTGTTTGTTCACCAACAGGCAATTGGGACGTGGTGGTCGTGAGAACACTCATTACGGCTTTATTACCTCGAAAGGATTTTCGTTAGGTTATCCTCGTCTCTCCTGATACACGAGTCATTTAAACTTCACGTCGTGTGACACTGTGTGATCTCTATGGGCCATTTGTACTAGCATCAAATGAGTTACTTTTACACATTTACAGTTTCCTCTGAACTTTTTAGATATTTATGATTCTTTGTCTGAAATATTTTTCTTAATCTTATTTATCAGAATCATAGATAAGGCCCGGTTTAGTCTCTCATTCACAACAATTCATGGAAGCATAACTTTAGTGAATGCACCGAGTTGCTCCTGATTACCATGAGGCACATGGAGAATGAAACTAGCTCCTTTGTCTGGCATGGCTCTGGTTCCCAGGATGTCAAGGCAGTTGACTCAGCTGTATCATAAAATCAACACAGTTTGTCTATCTAGACAGTTTTAGCACATCCATCATCATTTTCTCCTAATGTATTTAGAGAAGATTCATTCTGTACTACAGTAAAAACAGGATATGTGTTCAATAATCACCAGTGTTAATTTTACTATTATTCTATTATCCTGTGAGATCTAATCATTCTGTCTGTACTTTCGGGTGAGTTGGCTCCATCTCTGTGGTATCTGGGAACTACATTGCAGACAGGCTTTGTTTTTGTAAGGACTATTGGGGATTTTTGCGGTCTCGTCATGTCCTCACCAGTTTATATTGATACGCAGCGTCGCTGCATTGTTAGAGACAAAAGATTTCCCAGTACATACTGCACCTAAAGAACCCCAACCACCGAACCGCAGCCAATCGCCGATGCGCATTTCTGGACGTTTTAGTGCTGCATTCAGTTCTGAGAGTGAGTGGGCAGGGGAGAAAGCTGTCCCCTGGCTGGAGCCAACTGGGGAAACGAATCCCTGGATTGCTCCATCACCCTCCAGTGCAGGGGGTAACTCAGCCTCTCTCTCCAGAGAAATCGGCATCCTCAGTGCCCAAGTGAGCTTTGCGAAGCCGTGGAGAAGGAAACAAATCTTAACCAAGATCATTAAAATAGCTGCTTATTTCAGAAGAGCTATTGCATTACTCTCAATGCAGGCAATTAATCTTACTGATAGTAACACATTGTAAACTGCTCCTCAATTTCTCCAGCACTTGCCAGAGAAACACACTCGCCTTTTCCAGTTGTATTTACCACGGAATATTTGGGGCTATTTTGAGGAGAGGAGGAGTTGGGGGGTTTTTGGGGGGGCAGTTGCACGCTTATTTGCCATGTTAAACCAGATAAACATGCTATAAAAGATAACCCCTTTTTATTTATTGAATAAACACTATGCCACGGTTCACATCATGAGACCACTAAGTCACCAGAGCAGCGAGAGCCAAGGGGCACGGATGTGTGCGTGATCATGCAGGAGCACCGTTTGATTTTGCGTTACCTTTTCCGGAGCCGGGAACTGCAGGTGATTTACTTCCAAAGGCGTGATCAAAGGAACTGTCTGAAAACCATCTTCGTTGGATGGTGGTTTGTTGTTCTTGTCGTTCAAATTACTCCCCAGCTTCACCATTCTCGGACCTTGCTTTCCAGACCTAAAACCAGGGAGACATCAGTGTCAGGAGGGCAGCGGGCAGGGCAGGATCTCTGCCTTGCCTGGCGCCGTTCGACTCGGCGCATCCCTTACCTGGGCTCTTACGCCTGGGTTTCCGGACACGCCGCGTGCCGCACCACGGCTTGGCTTCGCACGGGCGTCACGCCTTACGCGGACCCCCCGAACACCCCCAAAACCTCCCAACACCGCAGGCAGCGTTACCTGCACCACCGCCCCCGCGATGTTACGGGACGGGGAGCATCTCCCGCTGGACACAGGGATGCTTTTGCCCGCCCCCCCATTTTTCTTGTAGC